CCCCAAAACCCCAAAACCCCATAGATCTTAAATACAAGCTTATTGGATAAGGGTAAGGTAATATAATTTGTTAGTTAATTTCTATTTGATAATTAATTAACGAGCATGACTCGCCTTGTTAAATTTAATTTTTCTCTCATTTTTTCTTGTTAAAGCAAGTCATTCTATCACCATTTGAAATCAAAATTGCACCTATCACACATAGACCAACTCCTACTGCTTATCCTAAGCTTAAATCCTAACTGAAGAATAGATAGTTAAATATTGTGACAACAATGACTTAATTATGCAGGATCGCTGTACTTATACCAATTAAACCATAGCTACAAGAAACATTAATGAATACAATAGCAATAGTTAAAAGAATTCCAGTAACAAAGCATGTACTGTATTAAGTAAAGTCAACTTCTAAAAATTAATCAGGATCAGCGATTATCATATAGATAAAGGTTAAAATAGCCCAAAATGATGAATACAGTAAAAATGCGAACCCAATTCCAAATGTTTCAGTATTGTATTATGTTATCTTTCTGAAAAATAAAAGCTGACTTCCAAACATTATAGAGGCAGCTAAACCTCCAATAATCATAAAAACAATGTTCATCATAGTCCCATCATCTTCCTAATCTGTTGAAATATGCGAATGCGAATTTATCTATCCTTGCTCATGAGGCTGATCAACTCTAAATATACTCACAAAAAATACCGCTACTACCATTGCTATTACACCAAGCAATTGAACCAACTAAATTGATTCTTTGAATAGGAAATATGATGCAATAGTCATTATGATAGTATTGGTTGCAATTATTGCAGTACAAATACCCTAATTGATATGTGCTAAATGAGCATATTTAAAACTAACAATAATCATTTCATTGCCAAAAAACTCAAAGGAACCCCCGATAAATATCAAGAATAAAACAAAAAAGTTAAATTTAGGCCTCATTGCATTTCCTTCATTGTCTATTGTCTAGTAATGTGGAAAGTAATACTAATTCCCACTTCTCATACCCTTTATATAAGCCACTAAAAAGTAAGAAACACTTCCAATAAAGAATGCTATATTTACGACTAGAGTATTGAGAAGGACATTATTTGAATGAAATGCTCTAAGGATATTTCCAGCTGCAAAAACCAGACTTGCACTCACTGAGAAAAACCAAAACCAGGGGCTTGTTTTAACTTTAACTGCAGGTTGAGAAGTTTCAATATTCTTCTATGAATTCGGTTCATTTTATAGATCTTCTTAATGAAAATTGTTTTTATTATTCTAAATGAGTTATGCTCTCATTTCTATCTCTTCCTTGAGCTAGTTTGTTTATTCTGACATTGCGATCAATATAAAATTATATTTAATAATGCATTTAATATTAAACTCCAATCTGATTAATAGCTAGTATTGAGGGGTTTTGGGGTTTTGGGGTTTTGGGG